ACCAAAAATATGCGCTTTACCAAAAGTTCTACTTGTTGCCTTTAGATGAAGACAAAATGTGTTACACACACAAATTTCACCTTTTGTATTTATCAGCATTTTTGGCAAAAGTTGTCAATTAATGAACATTAATACTCAATTTTCCCCGTTGCACCTACAAGGAGAAATAAAAATTCACTGGATACGTTTCTGTTATCCACTCTTTTTTTTTAGAAATAGTGTTAATGTCCAAATTTTTTTTGCAAATAAATTGAACCGAACATATAAACAATTAAAGATTAAATGTAGTATGTATGAGATGTAGTTGATATGTGAGACGTTTAAAGCGGAAATAAAACGGGCGATAGAGCAATAAGTCTGCATACACACAGACACTACAAACATTTCTGTCCAAATTTCCATGTCTCTCAAATTGAAAGACAATTTTGATTTTTGCAGCCATGTTTATAAATAAAACAATAATTAAACTGAACCGTTACAGCTGAAGTATCCTAAGCTCTTTTTTATGTTTGAAGAATTGAATGTCCCCAGAGTTGCGAAAAAAAAATGTTAAAGATAAAGGGACACTAACAGGATATGTGAAAAAGACAAAAAAGAATGTCTAAAAGATTAAATAGCTAATTAAAGGAAGAGCATTAAGAGAAAGCTAAGGAGAAAGAACTTATTTAACAATTTTTAAAGGGAGATTTATTAGTCCCAGCTCAAAAAATATATGAATATTTTACACCTATAGCACAGACATAGACAACGGAAAAAAAATCTTTCATACGAAATGAGACACGTGATTTTGCTGAAATTTTTCTTGAAATGTGTTCTGCAAATCAACAACTGACTGAGAGCTTATCTGGCCAGATTTGTTTGCGAAATAGGTATAGAAGGTAGGCACATTGAAGTTTCAAGGACTGAATTGCTTAACCATATAGAAGAAGTAAAAAAAAACATGAAGGAAGATTGGATACAACAAAATGGGAAAATGACAAAATAACAAGGACAACAGGGCCAATAAGTATCGAAATTGTCGATGGCAGCATTAAACATCCATATATATGTACAATGTTTATTACTTTATTATACTGCAAATAGACTCGAAGAAAATGCTTTAGTATATCAAAAATATTTATGAGAAACGGTTTCTGTACAAAAAAGAAAAACAAGAAAACATCGGTTATTTAAGAGCAACATAAATATAGCTTAAATGGTCGATATTAAGTGCATTACGCTAGTTTTGTTCACTTTAACTTTTCTCCATTCTTATTAATATAGAAATAAATACCTTTTGATATCAATATTACCTAAATACGAAATTAATATCTCTTTTAAACGTCAATCAATTTTACAAACAAACCGCTCCAAATATGTGTTTACTCTCTATATCACTAAAGTCACCCTTTTTTACAAGAAGTACTTTAAATATTGATCATAGATAATTTTCTATAGCGTCCTAGTATATTCGTTTCCCCAAATAGTTCTCTATTGAATGAAATGATCTTGCTATATAAAACAATTATTGACAATCTTAAGTATATCAGTTAATCATTTTTGTGTCTTCAGACGTTTAGGCAGATAGGGATCAATAATTGCACAACTATTATTAGTGTTAAACGTTATTTTGTATTATGTATTCAACACTAGTGTCATATGTCGTAACCTTACACCCTGAAATTTATAAACAAAGGCTGTTGTAATGATTTTGGTATACTGTAATAATAGTTATAGTGATTTACATTTAAGAACAATTGCCTGAGACAATGAGAGTTAATACATGTAGAGTGCTTGTTCGAAAGTTGAATATTGGAATTTTCATTAAATTTACATTAACATGCATATGTTTAACTGTTTTATGGAATACTTTTGGAAAGGTATCTCAATGGTGTACAATTATTTTTTGTGTGTTTTTATTACTATTACTATTATTATTATATATTATTATTATTATTATTATCATCACCATCATCGCCATCAACATCATCATCATCATCATCATCATCATCATCATCATCATCATCATCATTATCATCATCATCATCATCATCATCATCATCATCATCCTTATTATTATTATTTTCTAAAAGTGATCGTGTAAAGTTAAAATCTAAAATAATATCCGTCCTATCTGTCAAATGAAAATATAGTTTCTATTGTAATTCAAACCAAATAGCATAGGGTTTTTATCTGATCAACATACTCGCTAGCTAGCAAGTCAATGTTTCCAGGTCGAAATCGGAAATTAGATACTGTTATCTTTTTATGCGAAGTTAAAAAAAAAACATTATTCTTAACAAACAAAATTTTTCTTTCATTTACTGAAATATATAACGTGCAAACAGACTCGAAGAAAATGTTTTAGTAACATTAGTTTTACAATCATTTATTAGAAATATACATAATACATAACGTATTATTTTTCTATCTGCGTTTGATAAATTTATCAAATGCAGATAGAATACATTTATAGATATTGGATTATTATTCCCTTTTGACAGAACTTCAGGGGAACTGTTAATGCCAATTTATCCTGGCTTATTATCACCTTTGGTCCAATATTTCATTTCAGGGAATATTTAAGGTACGCCTAGACCAACGTTATTATCCATCACAAAACAAAATAAGAGAATGTCAAACGTACACAACTTTCGGTTACTCGGATATTCAAGGGTAAATATATGTGCATCTGTACGTTTATTATTTAAAATACACGTAATAAAATAAATTAAGCTCTCCGAAAAAAGAAATTGATGTAATTTCTCTTGATTGTTTTGTTTGACTGTTAATTAATGTAAAACTTTAAACAATTAACATAGATTTGTCATGCGTGTGAAACTAGCACGCTGTTTTTTTCTGAATTGCTCAAACTTAGGTTTGAATACCTGAATCAATTTGACTGATTTTAGGGTTTCGGGACCGGTTGACCTCGTTCTTACCTGGGTGAATGGTTCAGACCCTGCATTTATCGATGAAATGATCAGATTCGATTTACGGTAAGCAAAGCATTATCGTCACCAGCGTCCTCTTACCATTATCATATCCATCATGATTTACGTCGTCGTCATCATAATTATCGTTATTATCGTCATTTTAACCGTCTGATCATCATTATCCTCGTCGTCGTCGTCGTCGTCGTCGTTGTCTTTGTCACCATCAAGAGCATTAAGCTTAACAGCCGTATTTACTTTTAGAACTGGAATTGTACATGTATACATATTGGATTATTATTCCCTTATGATAGAACTTCAGGGGAACTGTTTTAAACAATTTACATCGTATATTCATGAATATTACACTAGAAAAATCTTTGTGTAACATTGGTTTTGGCTATAAACTTAATGGCACTGAGTTACAAATTTTGTTAAGGCAATTTATTCTTGTTATATATATACATTTTGAATATCTTCTTAAATACAATTTACAGAAATAAGAGCTTTATGCCAAAAAGATACCGTGACTGGGGAACCTTGCGATACGCCTTGCGATCAGTGGAGAGAAACGCGGACTGGTTTCGTAATGTGTATATAGTGACCAATGGTCAAATCCCGACATGGCTGAATCTAAAATATCATAGAGTAAAGCTTGTGACGCATACGGTATTACCGTTCTATATTCTCTTTTATATAAACTTTTTGGTGTAATATTTATCTTTTTGTTGTTGTTGTTTTTTTTGTCTGTTGTTGTTTTTGCCAATTTCAATTCATTTTACTCATATTTAGACAGTCGGCCCACCTAACAAGCTATTCAGTAATTACTATTCTCTCCGCAAGTGTACGACTTCTAATGCCACATACTTTCTAAATCAGCGGTGAGTGACAAACGACGATTAGGCTAGTGTTCGAAATCAAATGATACGGAGAAGTTTAAAAAATGAGTCTAGCGGATAGACACAATGGTTACATGATTAACTAAATTAATATTATTTGTAGCATTTTCAAGTAATGTAAATATTAATTATTCTCTACCTTATGCTGAAGTTTTCTTTCTTCTCCGCATGTTCCATATGCATTTTAACGATAATTTAAAACCGTGCCTGTTCTCAACCTAAGTATAATAAACGAATTGTTTAAATAATTAACTACAGGGTTTTAACAATAACACAAATTACATTGCTAAATGCTCATACAATTTTTATTTGATTAAATCTTAATAATGCTTATTTTCTAAATGCATGCACATAAGAGGAGGAACGTGATATGTTGAATCGCGCTATTCAATATTATAATTAAATATATTCTACATGTATTTCAGGAAATATTCAAGAATAAAAGTCATTTACCAAACCTTCAATTCTCTGGCAATAGAAAGTCACATTCATCGAATTCCAGGGTTGTCCAAACATTTCATTTACATGAATGATGACTTTTTATTTCTAAATAAAGTGGAACTGAAAGATTTTTATACAAAAGAGACTGGATTCAAGGTAAGGCAACTCTTTTCTACAGTTTAAATTACAAGAAAAGTTTACCTATATAAGACATCATTTTTTATAGGTTTCGTTTATATGTAATCTCACTCACATAAACGAATTGTCAAACAGAACAGACGTTACTTACTTTGACAAAGGTTTGCCTTAACATAAACTATGATTGCAAAATGTGAAACAAAAGAAATATGTCACTAATCATTTCAATACTTTACAAAATGCAATCACAATATAAAACTTTACATTAATGTACACATTATGCATTATTACAATTTATCATTTATTTTGTTCATTTAGTGTTGAACATTGAATACCGTTCAAGCTGGTGCTATTGTTGTGAGTGATGGTTGCACCTTTTCATTACATCATCTCTTAATATCATATCCAAACATACCGTGTCTGCGAGTTTCTTATAATTGTTTTTTTTTTATAAATCTACCTAGTTTCAAGATTGGAAGAATGAAATACAAAGTTTAAACGAGTTACTAGTAACTATCAAAAGCTAAAACAAAAACAAACAACAACAACAAAAGAAAACGATTCTTTTGAACTGTTTTTTACTTTTTGTATTTGTTTCTATTGCTTATAAAGTTTCTTTTGTTACATGACCATTTTCAAGAATCCCATTTCTTTATCATTTTTTTTTTCAAACACTTGGTCTTCTAAATAAAACATAAAATGAAAAAACAAGGTCTTTGCATGTAATTTCTTTAAAGATTTATGTTAGGTTTATTTTACAATAAGAAAGGATATAGCAAGTCATTGTTACTAATCGATTGACCATGAAAACTGGTATTTGAATCATTTAACCTTTTATTATTTCAAACAGATCCGCTTTACTGATATGAAACTAGGATATTGCTATAAAACATGCAAAATATTAAATATTAATAATGGAAATATGTGAAGCAGAATGCAACACAAAACAATGTGACTGGATGGTGGCGACTGTCAGACAACTCGCAGAGCAAACGAAAAACCTTACAACAATTTGTTGCGGATTCCATGCCGCCTTTTGCAGCTTCTGTTATCTACACTGCAACTGTTTACAACAAAGCGTTTGGGTCTGTTGATCGACAAGTTCCAGCACATGTACCTTACATAATAGACAGATCTCTAATGAATGAACTACAAGAAAGGTTTAATATGATTTATCTCATTGTTGTTTAGTTACATGTTAACACAGATAAAATACTGTTATAAATGATTTTTAAAATGCCAATTCATTTCTGATATAAAGAATGCTTTTACTTCTTTTACTTCTCAATTAGCCTTTACTTTTAGTATCCTGGTATTGTTTCCAACAAGTTAGTCATTTGCCAATTATCTGGTGGTCTCGTTATTTTGGACAAAACTTAAAATTCTGTAAGTTCTTGTGTTAAAGAAAACAGTAAGTTCTTACGTAAAATAAAATGTTCACTAGTATGGTTCCACATAAATTAAATAGCTTGGAAATTGTGCTGGAAAGAACTATCCTGTACATATATTTTAGATTATCCTTTACATTTTATATTTAAATGGCAAGAACAATCCTTAACATTTTATTTTAGAACTATCTTTAAAATGTACTAGAATGGGACGAACATTCCTTTGTATTTCATTTTAGAATGGCCAAAGACCTTCCCAGATTTCCTTTAGTTGTTTTCAAATGACCATTAATGCAGTTCTTCTCCGTAAATTTTACAGGAAGTCGAACTTGTTTTAGACGGCCTATACCCGTCTAAAAAGCTTAATTATCGACAATTTGTTTATTAATCCTTTCTAAGAAATTCTAATTTAATCACGCCTATTTGCAAAAATCGACCAGCACTCATATTGCTTTTCCTGTCCACGATCGATCAGCGTGTAATATATTTCCCATTACCTCATCCGACGGGTATGGTTTGTCTTGTCCTCGATCGGCGGACAAAGTTTTTTTATATGAGCCCTCTTTGTAAATTATTTGGTTTGCTTTTGTTATGACACAAATGGACTTGTATTCTGTGTATAACCTTTTTTATTAAATTAGGTTTTCCCGGAAGAGTGGAGGGACAAAACTTAGCGTTCTAAAGTTTTCGTGTGAATTCGTTTAATTTATGTTATGCTTTTTTCTTTCTACCATTAAACCTTGAGACCCCAGGGACAAAAAAACCCGGACATAAATTTTTTTTCCAATGGGAAATATGGGATTTAAATGTTCCCTTGGATTTAAAGGAAAATTTTACATTGACCTTATACATCATACAACCCAAAAAGGGTTTACATCGGGTTTATCACGTTTTAAAATTTTAAGGTTTGGGTCAAATGATTTCCCAGTTTTTTAAGTAAACTATTTTTGAGGGTAAAAGATTTTCAATTCAAGGCCACTTTGATTTTTACCCCATTGACGGGGGTTAAAAAAGTAGGGGGCTCCAACTAAATTACCCCTTGAAATTTTAAAGGTTTTTACGTCAAAGAATTCTTATGATAGAAAAAGTTTTCTTATTTTTTTTCACTGTCTTCACGCATCAGGATTATAAAAATAGGGATCGGGTTGGGTTTTCAGAAGTTTTAAGACTTTTGGGGCAAACGGTTTTCATAGTTATTGAGCGGGAAAAGGGAAAAAATTTTACTCCCTTACCGGGCCCCCCGATCGCCCGGGATTTTTCCAATTTTTTTATACCTTTTTTCGAAAGGAGCATCAAAATATTTTTAAATGCAGTGTTTTTAAATTTTTTTTTAAAATCGGTAATTTTAAGATTCTTTGGGTATAATTTTTATGAATTTTTTACCCTAAAATTCTTTTATTTCTGTTTTAAACAGTCCCCTTTTTTTTACAACAGGGGCGACGTTTTGGGGAAAAAATGAAGATAGGGGCCCACCTCGCGAAAGGACAATGCAACCCAAAGTTGGAAAAAAACAAAATCAAAATTTTTTACGAATAAAAAAGGAAGTGAGTTATTGTTTATTAATTTTATTTTTGCACTTGAAAACAACTTTCATGGAACGCAATCCTAGTAAACCTTAATATAAAGGGACCCAGATGGGCTCTGACCAGAAGCAGGTCACAAGTAAGGTGACAAATGACTGCCCGTAAAACCGAATTAATGATAAACTATGGCATTATTTAATCAGAAAAGAAAGTATGATATAATGAAATAGACTTCGCTTGTAATAAGCCTGAAATTTCCAGTTGGAAGTTGGAAGTTGGAAATTTCAATCAACTTGGCGAAAATATAGACCAATGTATTTTAAACATTAATTGTTCTTTTGAATCTGTTCAGTGAATGTATATCATTTTTATAGCAATGCGTGATTATATTTAAAACATTATTTTTGGTCAAATTATATTGATATATAAATCTTTTTTTACAGGAAGTTTGTATGTTTAAATGACCATTTGGACATAAACAGCGAAGAACAGATTCGAACACAAAGAGTTATAGATTCATTCTTCAAAACTTTATTTCCAAAGCCGTCATTATACGAGCTGCATTGATCATGGGCATAACCTATAACAAGTGTGACACCATAATAAATCAGGAACCAATAAAGAACAATTTGTAAAACTAGTATCGTGATTTGGATGAACAGTGTCTTATATATGTTACACTACTGTAAAATGTCGCAAGATGTAAATTCATGTTAAAATCATGATTAAAAGTAGTATTATATTACTTTTTAACATTCTCATAGCTATTTTTTTGTTATTGCCATTACACAAAAATTATCTTTGTTTTACTTGTTTTCTTTTGTCAACCTAAATATCGAGGTTTTGATCTGCTATATAATGTAATCTTTACGCTAGAATGGATACAATTGATATTGAATTCTCAATAGATAAGAATTTTTCTTTTGTGTCCCATTTTCATTTGTAACCCTGATTGACAACAGATTAAAGGTTTTATGATATTGTCGCTCTCATAATGTGCTTTAAGTAATTTCATTTATTTTCTCAGAAACTACCGAATTTACTTTAAACGCAGTTTACTTATTACCATGTCTATTTTAAAAAGGGAATGTCCACTCATTCCCAATTCAAGTACCAATTATGACCAAATTACACTACAAAAAGGATGCCCTTTTTTACCATTTTTGAGAAAGAAAAGAACAAAGACAAGCAAAAAACAATATAAATGTATCTGTTTCTTTTAATTAACAGTGATTTAATTGACATTACTCAGGGTTAAGCCAGCTTAACAAAATCAAACAACCTCTTAGGTTGACACCAATAATTTTAATTATGAAAAATGTTAAGCTGGCTTAACAGATAATCTAAAAAAGCTACATACTTATAAATTTGTGAAAAAAAAACAACAATATCTCAACTGATGTTAACTGAAGAAAATGTTATGCCGGCTTTACATTATCGAAAATAATTTTCATTAGATGAAGATAAATGATACGCCGGCTTTTTCAATTTCTTCTGTCCGTAATATTTCAAAGAAAATCTCATACTGTAAGATAAATTGTTATGCCAGCTTAACAAAATGGAAAATCATTTTAAATTAAAGATGAAAAAGTAAGATAAATTGTTAAGCCAGCTTAACAAAATCCAAAATTCACTTTCATAACATAAAGAAAATGTTACACCGGCTTAACAATTCTTAAAATCCAAGTAATATTTCAAAGAAAATTTCAAACTGTAAGATTAATTGTTAAGCCAGCTTAACAAAGTAAAAAATCAAAGAAAAATCATTTTCAATTATGGATGAAAAAGTCTGATGAATTGTTAAGCCAGCTTAACAAAATAAAAAGATAACTTGCATTAGATAAAGAAACTGTTACGCCGGCTTAACAATTCTCAAATCCAAGTAATATTTCAAAGATAATTTCAAACTGTAAGACAAATTGTTAAGCCAGCTTAACAAAATGGAAAATGATTTTCAATTATGGATAAAAAAGTCTAATGAATTGTTAAGCCAGCTTAACAAATTAAAAAAAAATCACTTTCATTAGATGAAGAAAATGTTACGCCGTCTTAACAATTTCTCAAATCCAAGTGGAATTACAGCACAAAATTTCAAACTGTTTAAGTTAAATTGTTA